ATATATATATATAGAAGTCTATAGTAGATGATTATCAGATACTATTAAAATTATTTGTGTCATTTTACCTTCGTCGTTTATTAGACGTAAAATAAGAATAGACTAATACAATTAGCGCCAATAACGTTTTTTCTGAACGTTATAGAAGTGTCGACTATAGTGTGGTTAATGTGGAGTACTCCAAACTCTTAAAATTTTTCTGTGTGTGGAATTTCACACTTGGAAATCCGAAGAATATAAAAATTATTAAAAAAACATAAAAAATAACAGGACTACGAGCTATAAATTAATTATTATAAATAATGAAGGAAAAGTTTCAATTTAAAACATAAGAATTTAATGACATATTATGTGAAAACGAAATAACATATGAGATAAATAAACAATAAAGGCAAACGTTTCGATCCCTATCGGGTCATTATCAATGCCATAGTATATAAAATTATTTAGAGAACAAAAAACATATATGATATTGACATAATAAATATTGACGCATATAAAATAAAAAGATGTAATAACTAATAAAACGCATATCGTCGGCTTGTAAAACGTGTCAAAAATTATTCTTTACAAGTATGAATATCAAAAAGGTTTCTGATCGATGAAAAAGAAAACGGTAAATAGTTATTATAGTAACGCATAATTTTGTCCGCGTAAATTAAAAATTATAAAATAACAAGGCTCAAACATGACCCGATAGAGATCGAAACGTTTGCCTTTATTGTTTATTTATGTCATATGTTATTTCGTTTTCACATCATATGTCATTAAATTCTTGTTTTAAATTGAAACTTTTCCTTCATTATTTATAATAATTAATTTATGGCTCGTAGTCCTGTTATTTTTGATGTTTTTTTGAATTTGTTGAGCCTTGTTATTTTATAATTTATAAAAATTATTTTACTTGATGAAATAATTTATTATTTAATATTTCATTAAAAATGAAACCTGATTAAACTAAATATGAAAAGTCGTATACTTACACATATATATAGGCTATGTTCCAAAATTGACTGCCAGTACTGAAAATCTATAGTTTACGTCACGAAAAATAGGTTTTCACTGTTTTCAGTACTGGTAGTCAATTTTGGAACACACCTTAATAGATCGTAAAAAGAATTTCAAAAAATCTTGATTTTAAAAAGGATCAAAGTTGATCACGTGATCAATGATGTGTCATACCGGTCATATCTGTACGCAGTAACCGACCAGCACAGAACGTGGATGTGATTGCCTGCAGTGACTGTATAAAGGTAGTTGATTCCCGTGTTGAGGAAAGTGATTACATCACAATTTTTCAACGATACATATAACATATAAATAATTTGTCTCACGATTAGTCATATCAACATAACAAAAGCGACGAATGTGTAGAAAGCGTCGGAGCAGCAAATGAACGACGACGAAACATCTGCGCATTTCAGAGGAATGAGGTATGTACATACGTATGCCATAGATATATTCAGTTGTAATTAAAGTTGCAATTGATTGCAATTGAGCAACAGTACATGACAGTGAAGCCGGCATGATCGAAAGGAAACAACCCCGTAGAGGACAACGTATTGATACGTATCATGTTTTTCGAGTCGTCTTTCTAAATCTAACCTAACTCTAACCTCCTCCAACCGTCCAACGTGGTAGGAGTACTTAAATATGGAGTCTGTTTTTTCTGTGGCTGCGTTTGGAATTAGTGTACACTTTTAGAACTTAAATTGAAACAGGCATATGTTTGATATTGATATTGAAAACAAGAAAGAGAATTCTGGTGCAGGAACAGAAAATAGACTAGTAATCATTAATTCATTCAGAAAGTTTAGTCATACTAATTGTAAGATTGAATTGACTCCGAAAACGATTTATGAAGCCGGAGGCACGATTTGTCGCGAACGACAAAGGAATTTAGAAAATTCCAAAGCTTATCGCGTTGCTCTTTATGTCGTAGATGGAATGTGTGAGAAAACAGGAAAATTCACTACGCTGGATAAAGTAACCTGAACTAACCTCAACTGACTACGATGTATACGTCGATTGACGTCGATTATTGAGTAGTTTGAGGAAGTGAGTAAAGGGAGTAGCAGTTTCTCTCTTAATTTATTTCACTTTTGATTTGCGCAGCGTGCTTTTCTACTAACTTTTGAGAATAAAAATTTGGAGATTTATCAATTTGATAACAATATGCGAGCTAATACAGTAGTGAATAATGTATGACTGGCGAATGAATTCTTTAGCGTAATTTTAGTATGCTTTTCTTTTAGAGGACACACTCGACACAAACATCGTTCTATCTTTATCATTTGTTGAATGTCAAAGATAGAACGATGTTTGTATTGAGTGTGTACTTTAAAAGGAAAGCATACTTAATTAATTTTTGTCAATTGGTAGGTTATAAAACTAAGAGAAAGTAGCAAACATGAGCCAAAATGCTTCCAGTATTAGAAGTATAGGTCTGTTTTTTAGGGTGCTGTTTTATTTGAGCGTTTTTTACGTATGACAAATGTGTATAGGATAGAGAGGTCCTTGGATCTCTCTATCGTATAGCCAATCAACAGATTTGAAAAATTTGTTGTACGGAAAAAATACACAAATAAAAAGTTAGACTTATTCATTAGAACTTTCTTTCATCACATATCAAATATATTACTTTAAGATATTACATTAGTTGAGTAAAGATAACAGACCTTGTATTGTAGCATAGCTTGGAATTTTTCATTTTTATTTAAACAAAGCATCTCTTTTAAATGCATCTATTTCAATCTATTATAACATACAATTTGTTGACATCTGTTGTATGTATAGAGTTGTAATAAAAAGTTTATATTGTAGCGATATTGAATGATAAATGCTTTTACACATAATGTTATTCATTTTTATACAAGTATGTAATTATACTTTCAGCTATTTCAGTCTATTAATATTTTGTCAAATATTTCATTAAAAGACTGATTAATTCAGATTGTCAACTTACACGAAATTGTCATTACTAATAAAATATTTGTAAAATCTTTACATTAATAATTAGAATAGGTTAATTAATATATGTAACAATACATTACATTCTGTATAAAAGTAATTTATTCTATTTAGATACAAAAAAGGTTTTCGAGTAAATACTGTTAAATTCGATAAGATTTATTCAAAAATATTAAGTTATACAAAAAACTATTCAATTTAAATTTTATTTGAGCATATGGATCTTTCTTTGTCTCTTCCTGTTTGAAAATAATATTTTATTTGTTGTGTATATAAGAAATAAAATTCTATGTTTATATAATAAAAATTGTTATGTTCAGTAATTAAAAAAAAAATTTTATTACACTTTGTACAAGTTATTCTGTATATTTTAACAAGTTTCATAATCCATATTATTAAATAAATTACAGATGGATAAAAACTTGGACGAAAAACTGTTGGAAGTAATACCAAGTTGTAGTACTTCTACGAATTCAAATGTGACGGGAACAAGAGACGGAAACAAACAGAACCTAATACAAGAGAAAGATTCCAATAGTATCTTAACTAAAGATATTTCAGTGAAGCTTACGCGTTTATCAAATACAAAAAAAAAAAGAATACGTAAGAGAAGAAATAGATGGAGATATGGCCTACTAGAAACAAGGTTTTATAAAAAAAATATAATTCGTTCTTCTAAGTCTTCGAGTTATCAGCAATCATTTCAAAATATAAAACCTATTACAAGAGCTATATCGTCAGAAGGAAATGAACAAATAGATACATACTTGCATATTCAATCATATCAAAAAGAATTGTGTGAAAATGCTCAGCAGAATGAGCAAAGAATAAGTAATACGGCACAAAACAAGACTGAACATTTTAATTTATCAACATGTGAGACACAGAAAGAAGATTTGCATGTCGATATAACTCATGCATGTGCTCGTACTTTACCATATAAATATTATCGGAAAAACATTACACCTAGGAATATGAGCGCAATAAATTGCAATTCTTTAGCTACACAATCATCAAGTATAAAGGAAACAGATCAGAGTTTGCATAGCAACAATTCTAACCTTAGTAACCATTTATCTCACACAAAAGCAGTGAACAGACTGATTCGTTTAAGATTGAAGCTTATGGCTGAAAAAATAAAAAAAAAGCTGAATAAATTTAAAAGGCTAAGAATATATAAAAGCTCGTCTGACAGTGAAACAGAAGAATTGCATTTACCAAGCAAGAAACGTCGGAAAATATTATTATCGGAATCTGATAATGAAAATGAAATTATAAGTAATACGACAGTAAATGAAGACAATAATTGTAATAAATCTCATTTATCTCCTGAAAAGATTGAAACAGAAAAAATATGTATTGACTCTCCAGCGAAAATTATTTTAACCAAATTGGAAGAAATGAAAGATGAAGATGTTGTTAAATGGCGAAAGAGCACAATAAAGCATTCGGATATTGCATCTGAATCAATAGAAGAACAATTGGATCGACAGAAGCTGTCGCAAAATTTTATAGCTTCAGAATCTCATGACAAATTGATTTTACCAATAGAAGATAAATTCTTGGAAACACAAGATATTCCTGAGAATTCTCCATTAATCAATAGTTGCATTGATACACATTTATCAAGATCAAAATTAAATAAACTACGGAAGAAATATAAACTGTTCAAGAAACCTAAAATTCTGCTAATAAAACTGGATACTTTACAGTATTCTTCTAAAAATGGAAGATATTCGGCGATCAAAGTCGAATATTTAATGAAGAAATATCTAAACTTTGTGATAAATTCTATTTACAAAAATAAATCTGAATTAACGATGTATAAAAACATGTGCTTAGAAAGCAGAATGGGTGCAAATATCACTTGTATAAAAGATCATAGTATAAGTTCTAGTTTATCTGGAGGACAAAATGTAAACGAAAACCCTAAATTATGCTTTAGCGAAGAAAATTCAATAAAAGGTACGACTTTTTCTTCAAAAAAATCTTACTTAATTTTATCTTTTTATAATTTTTAAATTAAGAAAAATTGACCTATTTTTGATCAAACCGAGTGCTTAATAATACCAATATGTAAATTTTTGCAAATACATTTTTTTTCTTCAACTTTGTAAACTCCGATTCGGTTTGTTACGAAGGGATAATCACTAGCTGAAATATTGTCACATTGATTCCATGATTTCATATAATTTTTTTACAATTAATGTAAATTTTTTTTATTTATTACAAATAATTGTCTTCACTACATTTTGGTAAAATAAACGATTTTATTTAATATTACACAATGATTTTTCATGATTGCATATGTAATTATTTGATTATACATGAGAGTTTCATATCATATTATAAATTCGTGTACAAATTTTATGATTTTAGGCCCACGATTACATTATGTGATTACCCTTTCAATTTGTTGACTTAAAACCCAATCTCAAATTTTGAAGCTAAAACATCTCGATTTGCGTATTGGTATTATTAAGCATTAAAATACACTTCAACTAAAAATATTATTAATTCTCTTATAATTGATTTATTCTCATTAATCTAAAATTTTGATAATCTAAGGGGTAATCACATAATGTAATCGTTGAACAATGTCCTCGAAATCATAAAATTTGTATACGAATTTATAATAATTAACATGATTTTATTTTAATTTTTATTACAGACGTTCTGACCACAGAAAACAGCGACAAAAATGCTCTATCTCAGATCTGTCAAGAGCCCATTCAAAATCATTGTAAAACTTTATCGCCAAGGGCATCCGAAAAGAACAGTACTTCGTCAAAGGAACGTTTAGAAATATGGCGAAACGCGTTTCGTACAGTAACGACGTCGGAAAAATCACAAGATATAATCGCTTCTACGTCGAAATCACCACCAAAAATATTTTCCTTTTTGAGAAACTTGTCGAAGGAATCGGTGAATGCGGAAAGCGAGAGTGTCACTTTGGCTTCCACATCGTCTTCCATGAAACATACAACATCGATCAGATCTATAAAACTCACTTCGCCGAAGAAACAGACAAACACTTCAACAAAGCCGACAGAATGTAATATATCCAAACCCGAGTCATCCATCAGCAGTGAAAATCTTCTATGTGACACAAATGATAAAACAATCTTTAGAAGTGATTTTACTCAATCTAAGGACGGTACTGTTTCTAAAAGTCTGTGTAAAAACGCAAAAGAGACAGACGTTATTACATTTAACGCTTCTTTAAAATCAGACAAAAAGATATTGGAGACGTCACCAAAATTGTGTAAGAAAACAACCAATCTTGAATCAACTAATGATAAATCAATAAAGTCAAAAACTTTGGAAAATTGCAGCGTTGAACAATTATTTCAAAGAAAACAAAAGGAAGAAGAGACACCTCAAAAGTGCGTTACGTGTGGCACGTCATTTAAGAATTACAATTTGTTGTTGAAACATTTGGCTTCTTGTTTTTATACAACACTAAATATGGATTCTAATTCTACTTATGCATCAAAATGCATAAAATCCTCACTTTTAGAGATTATAAACAAGGAACAAAATTTAGAAAACTCGAAACCGTCCACATCGAAACAGCAATGTTCTTCAGTTAACGGAGAAAGTAGCTCACGTCAATTTGATAAATCCGTTGTTAATTCCGATATGAAAATTCTATCCTCTTCTTCCTCCTTATCATCATTGAAAGCCATTAAAATGCGCCGTCGACCAATCAAGATGTCAAAAAATAAAATGGAAGCTAGGTCAGTTATAAAGTCGACATCTTGTCAGAATTTTTCAAGTAGTGCGAAAATTCCAGAATCCAATAATGTTAAATGCAGTAGTTCGACGAACATTCAAAGAAAACAAATAATATGCAAGATTTGTTCAAAGTCCTTTGATACCAATCAAGAACTTTTTGAAGATATGGCGAAACATATGGCTAATGATTTCCAGAGTATGCAAACTATGATCGAAAATTACATTACTTCTACGCAAGAATCTAACAAAACTAATGATCAAGTCTCCAATGATATAGTGGAAAATTCGGTAGAAGCCATGAAAGAAGTCGAAATGGTTGAAAATAATATCAATGAGCCAAAGAAGAATCTGCCAGAAAATACAAACAAATCGAATGCGGAGAATCTTGTGAGCTCAAAAATATCACAGCAGAAGACCAAAAAAAGAAACAAAATTTCGAAGTTATCGGTGACAGATACTGTAGAGCAAGATGCAAAAGAACAGTCGATGCCTGTAACGAATAATATCGAACAAGAAGCTAGCAAGACGCAATGTGCGGAGAAAGAAAACGTATGTGACGCTGAATTATCTTCAGAACTTCAAAGTTCACCAAAGAAATCTTTCTCTATTTGTAAGTGCCATAAGCCCAAAAACGAAACAAATAAGACGATGAGATCGAACATTCACATCGAAATAGTTTTATTGTGCACCACTTGCCACACAATATTTCGACGCTTGGAATGCTTCGAGATGCACTGTATGAGGTCTGTGGATAGCACGCTCTGTAATAAAAATCGACTACAAGGTAGGAAGTCGAAGTTGCTCTGTGTTAGGTGTCAACAGACGTCGAACTCTCTCGAGGACTTATTACAACATTTAAAGATGCATTCTCGACTTGATCGCACAGGCACGGTGACATTTTCCTGCAGCATATGCAAAGTTATCTTCTATAGTTTTGGAACGCTTTTCGAGAACCATTTCCAAAATCATGAGAAGAACTCGTTATTCCTAGCTAGCCGTCTCTCGTTTCCAAGGCCTTCGTACATCAGCTCAAAACTGATCAAGTTACCAACAACAGACGTATCGATAGAAAATCTTTATATGCAAGTAGCCGATTATGTGTGTCAAGACTGTAGAATGCCTTTTATCTACGAACAGGAACTGAAATCACATAAGACGGTTTGCGAAAGCGCCACCAACAGCGTCGAGCCTCGCTTCGGATTTTCGGATGGCAAGAGCACGACTTCGACCCTCAACAAAATACCAATCTCGCTAAAATGCGGATTTTGTAACAAGACGTTTTACAGCAGGATGTCCTTTGAGTTGCATTCATTGGAGCATACGCAGAAGCGAGAGTTACATTTGCATTATACTTGCGTAGCTGTTACCGCCGTAACGAAAGTATATATCTGCAAAGTATGCACAACCATGTGTCAATGTTTGCAGACTTTCACAGAGCATTGGCAAACTCACAGTGAGCTACGAGCGGAATATATATGCTCTATCTGCCGTAATTGTTTCCATAGTGTCGAGTTGTTTCAAAAACACGCGCTCGTGCACAGAAACAACAACGAGAAACAGCAGATACCGATCATATGCGAGGTAATCTATCACGACATCGATGATCAGAATTCCAACATAAATTCGCAAAAAGACACTACTATAAACGATTTACCTTATATGAATTTAAGTTGTTTTGATAATGAGCACAATTTTATTGGTAAATCTATGAATGATAAATCACAAGAATCACAAAAATCGACTTGTTTACTGTATGATCTTTTGGATAAGAATCAATCCACACAATCATTAGTATATTCCAATAAGGAAGCACAAGCAACTAGAAATGGCCCGCAGGTTCCGGTACAAATTTCTTCACACAATTCCCTCGTTGCAGTCACGCAATCAAAACCAAGCAGCAATGGTAACTCGGGAAATGTTGATGATGATTCAGATGAGGAGCTAACGATAGTGTTGTCGGAAAGTGAAGAAAGTTCAGTATCTAGCGGGATCAAAAAAAATGTTGACAATATACCTTCTACTCCGCAAGAAAACACGAAATCAACGACATCCGATTCTACCAATATTGATGGGCAAATACGAAATATCAACAATATGACTCCGATTATATCATCTGCTAAGACTTTGAACAACGTAAAAGAAAATACAAGTTCAAATGTCCGAGTTAGTGTTATAAATTTGATAGAATCCGAGAACACGCAGCTGAAGACAAATTCGAGCGTTTTGAAGGATAACAATACCCTTGGAAATTGTGTAGATTACCCAGTATCGTCAACAGCGAATTCTTCAAGTGAAAACTCCAAAAAATCGTTACCGAAGGATGCCATGAGTTCTGTGCCTAAGGCTTTCTTACGTGTGAAATCCTTAGCAGAGCTAACAAATACTCCACCGGAAGTGTCATCCTTATGTCAAATATGTGGCGTATTATTCGATTCTCAGCAAAAATTGACGACACATATGTTAACACACAACGGTAATTTGCTTTGCCAAAACAACAAAGTTCAGACAATTTCGTCCAGCAATGTACGAGTCTGGTCAACGAAACCGACGTTTAACTCTCAAGCAGTCATACCCACTCAAGATCGTTCCCTCCCTTCTACAATAACTCCATCCGTAACTGTGCATCCGAATACATCCACCCGAATAATCGCATCCAAACCTCAAGTGATCGGCGTACAATCATTGCATTCGGTCAGATATAACACAAACGTGGAAGTAACAAAACGGAAAGAATCGTTACGTCGAGAAGAAACGTGTGTGTCGTTAAACAATGTCGATGTTACTTCGCAGCAAATTTCGCAGGAGACGATCTATCATCAAAACTTGCCGCCTCTTATCAACTATTCATTAAACAAGACAATCCAATCTACCCAACAGCAGCAGAGTACTGACATCGTTCCTGTCAGACCGTTCTTACAAACTTATCAAAGACCTAAACTATTGCCACCATCATATTTGCAACAACAGCAACCGCAGCAATTGCCACAACAATCGCAGAAATTACAACAGCCACAAATGATGCATCAACAGAAACAACAGCAAATCCAACAACAGTTACAGCAGCCACAAATGATACATCAACAGAAACAACAGCAAATCCAACAACAGTTACAGCAATCACAAATGGTACATCAACAGAAACAACAGCAAATCCAACAACAGTTACAGCAGCCACAAATGGTACATCAACAGAAACAACAGCAAATCCAACAACAGTTACAGCAGCCACAACAACTGCAACCGACGCAACAACAGCCACAGCAACTGCATCAGCAATTGCAGCAGTCACAACAACTGCAACAGATGCAACAAGAGTCACAACGAATGCAACAGGTACAACAACTGCATCAGCAATCACAGCAGCCACAACAACGGCATCAAACGCAACAACAGCCACAGCAATTGCATCAGCAATCGCAGCAGCTGCAACAACAGTTACAACAACATTTACAGCAGCCACAACAACGACAACAAACGCAACAAAAGTCACAGCAACTGCATCAGCAATCTCAGCAGCTGCGACAACAGTTACAACAACATTTACAGTTGACGTTGCAATTACAACAGCAGCAACAACAACAACAGATGCAACAACAACAACAGATGCAACAACAACAACAGATGCAACAACAACAACAGCAGCAGCAACAATTGAATGCTGGCAATAATGTTATGCATTATATAATATCCAAGACAGATATGTCTTATCAATTGCAACCAACCAACCTAATACCAACGAGGGATAACGTTATGCTCGTGACCGTGAACACAATGCAGCGAGTCTCGGAGAACCCGGAACGCTACATCTGCTTATATTGTCCAGGCTTTGAGTGCGGTTCGGTACAGGAGTTTGCGTTGCACGAGAATTCATCGAAACACGAGGCCCGTAGCCATTACAACAGCATTGGTTATGTATCTCAAACATAAATTGGTGAAAATATATTTTTTAGAATGCTTACCAGGAGATGAATGATTATATTAAAAAACAGTCATTATTCGATGAAAATACACATTTATGTCATTTTAATTAACATTTGACATACTGATTGAAAGCAACTGATTTTTTGTGAACTTCCATTTTGCTAATTTGTAAATAAATGCATTTGCATTTAGACAGAGAGATATATCAGGATTGTCACAAGTCAGGGAAATGTTAGGGAATTAAAAAAATGCGTCAGAGAAGTCAGAAAAAGTCAGGGATTTAGCACACTTCTCAGGGAAAATAAAATAGCTGTAAATAAATTTATATTGCCTTGTTCCTCTATGATTGGTTTGGACTACCTTTTTTTTTTGGAATTCGTTTCCTGAAGAAAATGTGCATCTATGTTACACTGCTGGATCAACAGAATATTTAACATTTTCCGTATTACGATAAAACATTGCAAAATATGTATTATTCAAAGTCAGGAAAAATCTCAAAATTTTGTCAGTAAATCAGGAAAATGTCAGGAAATTTTGCGATTAAAAATTTGTGGCAACCCTGTATATCCTTATTATTTATCTAAATGATCGATTTTTCGGTAAATTTTGCAGATATGTGTGATTCTGTTATATAATTTAAATAATTTTCTCTTTGATTCAAATTTTTAACAAAATTTTTGTTTGTTTAATATTTAGTATTTTAGGCTAATATTACATTTGTCATATGAGAAAACATTTTAAGTATCTTGATTGGCTGCAAGAAAAAGAAGTTATCGGATCTCTCTCTATCTTGTAGCCAATCAATAAATTTCGAATTTTTGTCGTATAACAAATTTAATACCAGCCTTTAAGGGGATCCTAAAGTCGTCTATATTACCGACTAAACCATATCATTTTTTTGTATCGTAAATTTTTTTTTGTTATTTACAGATTCGAAAATTCTTTTACAGGATTAAAGTATACGAATTAATACGTACCTGTGAAGTAGAATCTATGCTGAAAACGATAAAGATTTCAAAATTAAGGTCTTTACCATTTCTTAGTTCAATATAGCGCTCCAGAACTGCACGTCGTAACATTTGTTTCATATAAAAGCTGTTCAATCTGTACTTAAAGAAATAGTAGTTTACAGACACGTAGTTTGCGTGAAGAGTCGAGTTCTTAGAATTAGACTTATAGACATTTTATCGCGACAAATTTATGATACGAAAATTGACAAGTAATGCGACTTCATGCATCATTGTCTGCATGAGATATTAATGTGATAGTATGTAAACGATATGTCGATGTGTTAAAAAACAGTTACATCTGGCAATTTTATTAGAGTTCGAGCTTTGCTTTAGGATCTCCTGAAAAATCAAGTAGTATATCAAGATATTCATTATATTAAGTTTTTTCTTGTAATAAATATCATTACGAAAAGAACTTTTTTTAAATATGATATTTGTTATTCTCATTAATTTGTTTAAGGTGCTTATATATTCTTTTCATGTTTTATTATTAGATAACAATTAGCAATTTATCACATGATTGTTTTTGTCGAAACATTTAATTGACTGTAACATTTTGCAACCTAATATAATTTAATATAAGAAGAATTTCTTGTCATTTTCATAGTTTTCATCGTTTGTGTAGTCTTTATCAGTTCTATATTGTATTTTATCGTACTTGTAATTAATTATATTATTCTTGCTAACTATATTTTTATTTAAACGTAACGTTTTAATGATATTTTGCAGTTGATCTTGTTCAAGATACGGGATAAACTTTTTTTTTAAATAAAGGATAATGTATAATATATATTTATACAGTGCATACATACCTATATCAAAATTCCATAAAAAGACATATAAAGATATATATTTTACCATATATTTTGTGTCATTAATTTATTATTTCCACCGTCATTATTAATCGACTGTTATTAAGTCTCCTGAGTAGTTAATGCTTTCAATGATAGCCATAATAAGATATAAATATATTTCACGGAAAAAAGTACTAGTATGATTGCTATTAACAAAAAATTAAATGTCCTCAAATGCTTAGCCCAGAAGCATGTAATTCAGAAACGATAAGAAACGTTTTTTATTTGTTTAAATTGATTGAGTAATACTGTTTACGTGATTAAATGCCAATAATGAATGAAGACTGTGTACGCATTTCCTATATTCAAATTCTATACCATTAAATTTAAACGCTCGTAGAAAATATGTAGGAATAGATAATAAATTTATATTATTAACAATTGTTTAATAAATGACGAATCATAAATATTACATTTTTAAAAAAGGATTAAATTTTTAAATTAATTTTTTTGTAACACCAGTACTACTAGCATAAAATTAATTACTTTGCTTTCACTTTTAATTCCTTAACAAAAGAGACATTGGTATTACTCCAAGATAAAACTTTACGTATATCTATATACTTTTTTAGAAAAAATAAATTCCGATTAAATGCATTATCACGGTTTAGTAATGCTGTTGTTATGTGAGCGAGTTTGATACTGTTGAGATTTTAATAATGCATTATATTAAATTTCCTTTCAACGTAATTTTTTTTATATTACTTTCAAAAAGATATTTCAAAATTTAGCGATAAATTATAAATAAAAGTTAAATATATAAATTTTTTGTCAATATTCATTTATTTCTTATGTTGTATCCTTTTTTCAGCTATTTCCAATTTTTTTTGTATTTTATAATTTAACAATAAGTTTGTTAAATTTATTATCGATTGCAATATTACATCAAATAATAACCTTGAATTAGGATTTTGCTTTATTTTAAAATTTATCTATTAATAAAATTTCATTTAATAATAACAATTAAAATTGTGTTTCTCTTTTATTTTCTAAAATGGAGTACGAAAGAAAAAAAGTAATTTTTTGTCATATTATAATTACAATATTTGATATAATGTCGTTTGTCACTCATATTGTGTAGAACTGTATATTATAATTATAATGGTACATATTTTTTACAAATTTTTTTGTCAATTATGATTTCAAAACGAATAGGATAATAAAAATAAGATGTATAATAGATTATAAAATAGTTGACTAAATTTTAACTATTGTGTTTTGTTCAGAGATCATTGTCAGTCCAGGTTATTATTATTTGTATAATATTAAGAAAAAGAATGTATATTGTAAACTTTTCAGGATAACTATTTACGCTAACTGTTAAATTTTTAACGATAGCATTTATCATTATTGTGAAATAATTTCAGTACATTATTCAAAATTTATCTAGTTGTGTAAAAGGTATTTCGCGATTATGCGAATGAATATTATTACATGATTTACACATATTTATGAAATGAAAAAAGATGATTGCGAATTTACCAATATACTTGTCTATAGTGTTTATTTTAACTGGAATAATGCAGTGATTCATAAAAATATTTATTTAATTATTCCGATCATATTTTAACAGAGATACATGATTCTTATATCGAGAGAAATGTATATTACACTCAATTGATTAGATTTTTACTGAAAAATGATAATTTATAAAGAACATACAATGATCATTTATAACACATATATTCATGCATTTATACTCTGAAGCTTCAATTAAATTTTTATTGTAATGTTAAAGTGATCTTAGTTCCTTCTTACAAATATATAATACACAGTATACATATTATATTGTAAAATTTTTTAGTGTAGACTTGTAAATACATAAATATCAAAATAATAATTTCGTATATTAATGCTATATAAAGCAATTCACGTTGTTGTCTTATTGAAAAAATAAAGTTCAACGAATAATTGAAAAAGTAAAAGTATAGTGTTATAACGCATTTGAGGCTTTTATGGGTATTATCTTCAATTATACCAGAAGGTTTGCGAGTTATCATCGTGTTGCTGTTCATTTTTAAAGCCAACGTTTTATGAACCATGCCTTTCACTTCATCAAGGCAAAGGGTGCACTGATGCAGTATCCTGATCAAGTGAATACCATCACGGCGATAACCCCCAAACCTTCTGGTATAATTGAATATAAAGTGTTATAATATGCTGTTACTCAAAGTATACATGTTTTTCAAAGTAAGGTTAATAATATTTCAAAGAACCCCGCACAAAACGTACGGAAAATGGGTACCGGCTAATTTGGCTGAACTTATAATATGTTATAGTTCTGGTCGCGTCCTGATCAAAAGTCTCCATGGGCACACTGTATGAGAAAGAGAAAGAGAGAGAGAGAGAGAGAGAGAGAGAGAGAGAGAGAGAGAGAGAGAGAGAAGAGAGAGAGAGAGAGAGAGAGAGAGAGTAATAGGTACGAAAATGTACCTTCAAGTATCATATGGAATTAGCCGTTTCGACAGAGTTTGATGTACAATAACTCAAAAACTGTTCATTTTTTTACTTCGTGCTCATGGAGACTTTTGATCAGAACGATCAGGACTACAACATATTATAAATTCAGCCAAATTAGTTGGAACCCATTTTCCGTATATTTTGTACGGGACTTTTTGTTTATGAAATGATCCTCGCTTATTTTTAATAATGTGCGTTAATCATATTTTTTTATATATCTGTCCTAGATGTATTATAATTGGAATCGTCTATAAATATAAAGTTTTAATATTTTAATTTATGAATTTTAACGAATTTTACGGAACCACATTAGGAAGATATCTTACGATATCTTGGAGACGACTTACATTTTAATTTAGGTCATTGATATTTTATATACGAAATAAAAATTAATTATATCGAAACTCAATAATAAGAAGAAAAACTGGACTATGACTATGTAATAAAAATATAAATCAGTTTGTTACACAAAATTCTAATTTCATTGTTATAATGAAGTCAATCGTGGTTCCGAATGAACAGAAATAAATTTCAAATATTTTATTAATGGAGGTATTTACATTGAATTTAACACCGATTATTTTTATTTTTGAAAATAAAGGTGTGCATTTACTCTTACGCAAATGAAATGTAATGTTTATACAATGTTACGTCCATTTGTTGAATTTTATACAAAAAAAATAATCAATTTTATCGTCGATACTGAGCGATAAA